GTTAGGTGCATATATATTTGTAAGTGTTAGGTCTTCTTGGTGGAATGTCCCTTTTATGATTATATACTGCTCCTCTTTGTCTCTCATTGCCTGTTTTATCTTGAGGTCTACATTATCTGACATAAGTATGGCAAGACCTGCTTTCTTTTGTTTGCCATTAGCTTGAAGTATTGCCTTCCATCCCTTCACTCTGATCCTGTGTTTGTCTTTAGAGCTGAGAGCTGTTCCCTGGAGGCAGCGTATTGTTGGGTCTTGTTTTTAATCCATCCCACCAGTCTCTGTCCTTTGATTGGAGAATTCAATCCATTTACATGTAGAGTGATTATTGATCTATGAGGGCTTAATGTTGCCATTTTATCACTCATTTTTCAGTTGTTCTGTATTTCCCTTGTTTCTCGTCCTGTGTATTTCAGACTGCTAACTCAGTTTGGTGATTCTCTATGATGGTTTTGTCAGTTTTCTCTTTATTTATCTTTTGTGTCTCTGTTCTGATTATTTGTTTAGTGGTTACTGTAAGGATTGTATAAAAAATCTCATAGATGAGATAGTCCATTTTCTGATAGCCTTTTGTGTCCTTAGTCTAAGCTGATTCTATCCCTTTCTTCTTCCCTTTCTAGGTTATTCTTGTCACAACTTATTCCATCTTTGTTTGGGTTAAAATGAGGAGATTATGGAGATTTTTGAAGTTTTCCTTCCCTTTATCTTTAATGTTACAATTAAGTGTTTGCTAACCTGTTCTGATAGAGAGCTGCCATTTCCTGATTTCCGCTGCCTATTCATCTCCTTGCTCAAGGCTTTGTAAACTCTTTCTTGCTTTTTTCAGGTAGAAGGGCCATCTTGATCATTTCTTGTAGAGGGCATCTTGTGACAATGGACTCCCTCTGCTTTTGTTTATCTGGGAAAGTTTTTATTTCCCCATCATATCTGAAGCATGCTTTCACTGGATAGAGTGTTCTTGGCTGAAAGTTTTGTCTTTCAGAATTTTGAATATATCATTCCACTCTCTCCTAGCCTGAAGGTTTCTGTTGAGAAATCTGCTGAAAGCCTGATAGGGGCTCTTTTGTAAGTTATTTTCTTCTGCCTTGCTGCCCGTATTATATTTTCATTGACTTTGCCAGTTTTACTACTATATGCCTTGGCAAGGGTCTTTTTACATTGATATAATTAGGAGTTCTATTAGCTTCTTTTACTTGTAATTCCAGCTCCTCCAGATTAGGAAAGTTCTCAGCTATTACTTCTTTGAACAAGCTTTCTGCTCCATTCTCTTTCTCTTCTCACTCTGGAATACCTATAGGTATAATCCTTGTGTTGCATTTCCTAATTGAGTAGGATATTTCTCAGAGAATTTCTTCATTTCTTTTTAGTCTTAATTCTCTCTTCTCCTCCATCTGAAGGATTTCTATATTTCTGTCCTCCAAATTGCTAATTCTATCCTCCATATTATCAGCTCTGGCATTCAATGACTCCAGATTTCTCTTTATCTCACTCACTGTGTTTTTCACCTCCAACACTTCTGATTGGTTTTTCTTTATAGTTTCAGTCTCATATGTGAAGAATTCCCTCTGTTCATTAATTTTATTCCTGATTTCATTGAACTGTCTACCTGAATTTTTTTGTAACTTGTTGAGTTTTTTATGATAGCTATTTTGAATTCTCTGCCATTTAGGTTGTAAATTTCTGTGCCTTCAGGATTGATTTCTGAGTGTTCATCATTTTCTTTCTAGTCTGGAGTATTACTATATTTCTTCACAGTATTTTATGATGTGGATTTGTGCCTTCACATAGTGATAGTATCTGCTCACAGATTCCACCTGCCAACACTGGGGGTGGTGTCAGGAGCTGTGTATTCTGATCACACTGCGATCCTTGACATCTGTGTTTGTCCTTTGGAATCTATGCTGACAGGGCCTGTCTGAAACTACCCACCTGCAGCTGCTGCTTTTCTAACATATGTGTGGGTGCTCTGGTGGGGATGGCTTGTTCTGGTCGACCTGCCGAGCTGATGCGCCGGGCAAGGGGAGGGGCATTCTCTTTTGTGTGCATGATCCCGGGGGCATTCTCGCCCTGCCCTCACTGTCTCCCCTCCTGGGGTGCTGGCTTGATGAAGATACTGCTGCAATAGCTCAGTCTCCTCTGTGTAGAGCTTTCCTGTTGGGTGTGAGGGAACTTGGAGAGTGAAAGTATTCCCACAAACAGCTGCCCCTCCCTCAGTCTTTTCTCAGAGCTGCACATGGTCTTGTGCCCTAGATTGCTGCCGAGGAGGGAAAAAAGATCCCCTTACCTCCTTCCATTTTCTCCGGGGGGTCCAGCACCTCCACCTTCAAATGTATGTCTGCCTGGGTCTCTCAGATGTCTTTGTGTTGTGTGAATGTCCTCTGTTGGTATATGAATGTCTTTTTCATTGTATCTTAGGGGTAAATTCTAGGGGGAGAGCTCACTCCACCATGATGCTGACATCAGTCTCATTGAAGATTTTTGCGTCTATGTTCATAAGGTATATTGGTATGCAGTTTTGTTTTCCTGTGATGTCTTTCTCTGGTTTTGTTTTCAGGGTAATGGTGGCCTCATAGAATTATTTAGGTAATGCTCCTTCCTCTTCTGTTCTATGGCAGAGTTTACAAAGGATTCATGTTAATTCTTCCTTAAATGCCTGGTAGAATTCACCAGTGAAGCCATTTGGTCTGAGCTTTTCATTTTGGGATGTTTTTGATTGCTGATTCAATCTCATTACCTGTTATAGGGCAGTGCAGACTCTTTATTTCTTCTTCAATCACTTTTGCAGTTTGTGTGTCTCTAGGAATTTGTCCATTTCATCTAGGTTATCTAATTTGTTGTTGAAAAATTACTCAGTTTCTGTTATAATCCTTTCTAAATTCAGATGATATGCATATATATACCATTATTATTTATACCAAATATTACATGCAATATTATAATGTAGATGAAATAGTGGTTTTGTTTGGGACAAAAAATAATAGTATTACACATAATTTTGGTGTATATATATATATGTGTGTGTATCTATATATGAAATAACGGTATTATATCAACCACTGTGGCACGATTACTAATCTCACTCCCACAACTCATAGAACTGTCCCTGGAAGTATATTTGTAAAGTAGCAGTATTGTTTCATACACAAAATGATAATATTACACATACTATTGGGGCTATGTAGA